TATATATGGTTGGATTCAAATGAGAATGGTACATAGTGAAAGAAATATGAATAAATCTTAGCCATTGGATTGGATGATCCAACAACTAAAAAATAACCCAAATTTTGAACACATTAAGGACAATGTGGTAATTTTTCCTACTAACTAACATGTGGGTCCACCCAACACCAAACTCACCTACCCAATTCCGAAACAGCCAACTCACACGTGGGACCCACCAGAAGTCTCTCTTACGTACAACCCACACACACCCACTCTCCCTGCAACTCTCTCACGTACAACACACACACACACACTTTCTCCCTGCACACACAGACACAAATACACCGCCTGACCGTCACCATCCAACGCCGTAGACCGCCATCCAACCCAACCCGGCTCCGCCATTCCCCGACTTCTCCGGCGGCCGCAACTCCGTCGCTGCACATGGTGCTCGTCAGGGGCCACTCCGCCCACCGGAAAATTGCATTGTGTCCCTTATGCTCTCCAATTAACGCCGCCGCCGGAGACCGCGTCTTCTCCTCCGTCCGCCGCCTCCAAAATTCCGGTTACTACTCCAGTAAACGCCGCTGTCTACCTCTGGTCCGACCCGCGTCAAAAACATATTACAGGCTGCCAAATCACCGCCGAGCACATCCAACCTCAAGCGTTTGGAGGCCTAAATTCGCCCGCCCACGAAGAATCTCACCGACGCCGTGAAGCTCGGATAATTCCGGCAAGCACATGAAGTTACCGGCCAAATACAAAATCAAAAATAAATTTGATGAACACAAAATCGGAAGTAAACTCGTAGGATGTGGCGACCGGTGGGGTCTTCGTGTTGCACAGAAGAGTCCGGCGGCTCATCGGTGGCTAGCGATTATTGTGGGAAGGAGACGGAGCATCCATCGAGCAGATAGATCTGTAGGATTTTCAATTAGAATCTAATTAATCTCGAGGGTTTAATTGCAATATCATTAATTTTATCTAAATTACAATTTAGTTCTTAGGGTTAAATCTATAACTTAACTAAAATTTCAAGAGTTTTGATATAGTTCAATTTAGCCCATAGGCTAAATTTGTAATTTATATAAAATCTTTTTGAACCAAAAATAATATAAAATATTAAATAAAAATATTAAAATACTCTATATATGTTTATACAAATAGTTGCGCTTCGAGTGCACATTAACGTTACACGACTTGCACATTAGTGACTATCAGATTGCACTATAGCGATCAAAACAGACATACAAAGTTTTGGGTTCAAACTTTATATTTTGCTTCGATTATTTGTGTTTACTTTTAAAATTTTGGTTATCTCGGTGTGATGTTAACTTGATTGTTTAATATAACAAAATTGATCGAACTATATAAAAAGTATTATTCTGTTATAAATTTATATATATATATATATATATATATATATATATATTTCAGGTACTTACAACAAAACATAATACATAATATTATATTAAAATATTAAAATATTAAAATATTTATTATATTTGTATAATTAATTATAGATGTTTAGATTGTTTAGATTAACTCAGGTAACTGGTCAAATAAACCGAATATTTCTGTTTTAGTTTAATTTGGGGGAAATCATTAATAAATAGCTACATTTTGATTGCATATCAGTGTTAGATCGGTTGCACTTTAGTGACTGCGAAAATGCACAATAGTGACCATAAAATTGTCCGAGCAAAATTCGTGTGTTTGAATTATATATTTTGGTTCGATTATTTGTTGTTACTTTTAAAATTTTAATTAACTTGGTTCAAAGTCGAAATTGTTGTTTTTTTTTTAAATAACCCACCCGAACAAACTATACAAAAAAGTAAATAAATTATTTTGTTATATATGTATGTTTTAGCTCTATACAACAAAAATAATATAAATTTTATTAACTAAACCATTAAGTTATTAAATATATTACTAAATATATTTTTATATTATAAATTATAGATTATTCATGATATTTAGTTAATCAATCAAATAAACCGATTCTCTCGTTTAGGTTTAGTTTGGGACGAATCATTGAAAAACATTTGCATTCGAAGTGCACATTAGTGTTAGATGGATTGCACTTTAGTGACTATCATATTGCACTATAGCGACAAGAAAAATGGATCGAACTAAATTCGTGTGTTCGAATTTTATGTTGGTTCAATTATATTGTGTAATTTTTTTAAAAAAAATTTTGATTGTTTCAGCTCGAGGTCTATATATATATATTTTTTTAAATAACTAACCAACTAAACTGTATAAAAAAAATATTAACCGATCAAATAAACCAACTATTTCGGTCTTATATTGAATTGTGACAAATAATTAAAAAAACAAATAAATACACTTCAATTGCACATTATTGTTAGTCAGATTGCACCGTATCGAATGACATATTGCACTTTTTCAATCGAACCCTACCCAATAAAAATTTTGTTGTACAATTTTTTATTTTGGTTCGATTAAATGCAGTCCCGCTCACCTGCCCACGGTGGGCAGTGCCCACTAGTTTGTTTTATATGAAAAACGTATTCTGAGAATACATTTTTCAATTAAATTTAATTGAAAAACATATTCTCAAAATACGTTTTTCATATAAAACAAACTAGTGGGCACTGTCCACCATGGGCAGGGGAATATATTTATGATTAAATGTTTGATACATTTAAAATTTTGGTTATTTTCAAACAATACAAAAAATATTAGGTTGTTATAGTTTTCCACACATTAAATAAGTCTCCATTTTTATCTAATTTCCAAAAATGACCCCCCAATTCAAAGTTTAAGGTTCTGAAAATAAAAACAAATTTCACAGCATCCATCTTCCATATCAATAGCGGGCAGGGGAGGTGACGACGGAGGACCTCTCATAGTTATCGACTGACGACGGCGGCGATGGCGAAATTGACGCCGGAATATGGATTTCCGGTTGTCGATGCATTTTCGAGATTAATGTTGGCTAAATTGTGTCAAAATTACACGGAAATCCTACGAACTGATATGTAATTTTCAGTTCTTACAAATAATCTAAAAATAAAAAATTACAATTGAACTGAAAAAATAAAATACAACTGAAAAACGGAAAGATTTTAGCCGAGGCAAGTATAGTTCTTTCCGCAAGAAGAATACGCCCCGTGTGTCTGCTAACGGTTCAGCCTTAACTTCCCCAAAGATACAACGGCAATCGTCTCTAAATCTGTAGCACACCAGATTTACGAGCTCCGACGAATGAGAACGGAGTCGAGAATTGAGCACTTAAAAATAAAAGGAATATCATAAAACAAATAAAAATATCATTTGTTTCTTCTCTTTTGATATTTTTATGTCCGATATTTGGACATATATCTATCTTTTCTTTCCTTTCTCTTTTCCTTTCTTTCCTCTCTTTTCTCTTCTTCTTTTGTGTGTTTTTCCCTTCTGAAGAAGTGCCTATTTATAGGCATACGGGATGTTGAATTAGGCAATTTGCCTAACTTTTAAAAATATTTTTTTTTCAACTAGTGGGGCGGTTGCATGTGGCACCGCCCCTTTCTCATTTTTTTTTTTTAATTGCAATTGGGGGAGGCTGCATGTGGCACCGCCCCCTACACTTTTTTCTAACAATCCCCCACAAAAGTGTAGATTAAATAAATATAGGCTATTGTGCTCAACCCTCACAAAATTCTATTGCATCAGAGAAGGTAGCTTTTGACTTTGAACCTTTCTTAGTAAACATCATCGGATGCACTGGCGGCCTAGTGGACATAATGCCTTGAACTATTCCTCCATAGTGTACACCAAGACAATGACATTCACACAATAGAGTCTTAACTCCATTCCGTTCTTATCGTTGTGTCCGTTTTGGCCATGGACAACACAATGGATTCATAAGTGTTTACAT